CCCTAAAGGTCAAAATTAATCAATAAATTCAGCAAAGCTGCAAGATATAAAATCAATACATAAAAATCAGTTGCATCTCTATACACTGACAACGAACAACCCAAAAAGGAAAATGAGAAAACAATTCTATTTACAACAGCATCAAAAAGAATAAAATACTTAGGGATAAATTTAACCAAGGAGGTGAAAGAAAGACCAGTACACCGAAAACTCAAAACATCGCTGAAAGAAATTTAAAAAGATACAAATAAACGGAAATATACCCTCTGTTCATGGATTGGAAGTTAATGTTGTGAAAATGACAATACTCCCAAAGTAATCTACTGAGTCAATGCAATTCCTATCCAAATTCCAATGATGTTTCTTGTTTTTCATCCTAAAAGGGGCCTTTATAGCCAAAACCATCCTGAAAAAGAAGAACAAAGTTGGAAGACTCACGCTTGTTTCAGCACTACAATGCACAATGATCAAAACAGTGTGATACTGGGCACAAGGAGAGACATACAGACCAATGGAATAAAACAGAGTCCAAAAGGAAACCCTATTTTGAGTGTGTTGCCGGGGGGGGGGGGGGGGCGGTGTTGCGGAGACAAGACAACTCACAGGATGGGAGAAAATATTTGCAAAGCATATATCAGAAAAAGGACAATATCCAGAATATAAAGAACTCCTATCATTCCATAACAACAATAACAACAAAACATAAATAACGCAATTCAAAAATGGGCAAAGGACTTGACTAGGCACATCTTCAAAGAGGACATAAAAGGACTACTGAGCACATGCGAAGATGCTCACAGTCACTCATCCTGAGGCAAACGCAGATAAAACCACAATGAGAAAGCACTTCACACACACAGTTCTGTATGAACAGGACTGGGGGGCTGTAACATGGGACAGCCATTCTGTAGAACAGGAAAGTCAAACACAGACTTACCCCATGACCCAGCAATCCCACTCCTGTGCACACGTTCCATCCAAGGAACTGAAACCAGAGACTCACACACCTGCACACCAATGTTCATAGCAGCATTATTCACAGTAGCCAAAAGTAGAAACAACCCAAGAGTCCAGGTACAGAGGAACGGATAAATGAAATGTGGTAAATGCATACAGTGGAATATTACACAGGCATAAAAGGGAATGAACCTCTAAGACGTGGATGCCACAACCTAGGTGAACCCTGAAAACATGCTACATGAAATAAAGACACAAAAGGACAAACATTACATGATTTCCACTTATATGAAATATACAGAATGGCAAACTCTCGAGACAGAAAATAGAACAGTGATCACCAGAAGCCGGGGGCAGGGCAGGAAGGAGTCACCGTGTAACAGGGACAGAGCTTCCCCTTGGGGTGATGAAGTTCTGGGAGCACAGAGTACTGATGGCTTCACAACACTGTGCATGCATGTAATGCCACTGAAATGGGTAATATGGTAAATTTTATCTTCTGTATATTTTAACACACACACACAAAGGTGAATGCATAATTGAGCAGTGGTTCTGTTTAATCAGTTTTATAATGAAATATAATTCAGGGATAAGAAGAAAAGAACCGTGGAGTCACAAAAAGGCAAGGAGAGAACTTAAATGCATATTGCTAAGTAAAAGATGCCAGTCTGCAAAGGCAACATACTAACTATATGCTATTCCAGAAAGTGCAAAACTATGGAGATGGTAGAAAGCTCGGAGGTTACCAGGGCTGAGGCAGGAGCACGGGACGAATGGGCAGAGCCCAGGGGATTCTCAGGGCAGTGAAACTACTCTGTGTGATAGTGTAGTGGAGGATATAGGACTCTATGCACTTTTCAAAAGTCATAGAATGGGTAACACAGGAGTGAACTAGAATGTAAACTATGGGCTTTAGTTAGTAACAATGTATTAATATTGTTCATCAGGTGTAACCACAGTAATGCAAGATAATAAAGGAAACTGGGTTAGGGGAGGAGTATGGGACTCTCTATACTATCTGCTCAATTTTCTGTAAACTAAAAATCCTCTAAAAACATATTAATTAAAGAGAAATCCTACTTGGAAATTCCATTGTTAAATTTTAAAGAAAAAAATGGAAGGTACAGAAAGCAGATGAATCCCTGGGTCCAGTGGGGTTACCTGGGAAGGAGCATGAACGAACTTTCCGGAGTGACAGAAATGTTTGACTTCATTGGGCCTGGGCTGATATTGCCATGGATGTATACATTTGTCAAAATTTATAAAATTATTCATTAAAAATAAGTGCACTTGTTGTGAGTAAATAATCTCAATAAAGTTGATTTTTAAAAACGGGGTCATCGGGGCGCCTGGGTGGCTCAGTCGTTAAGCGTCTGCCTTCAGCTCAGGTCATGATCCCAGGGTCCTGGGATCGAGCCCCACATCAGCTCCCTGCTCGGCGGGAAGCCTGCTTCTCCCTCTCCCACTCCCCCTGCTTGTGTTCCCTCTCTTGCTGTGTCTCTCTCTGTCAAATAAATAAATAAAATCTAAAATAAATAAATAAATACATAAATAAATAAAAATAAAAACGGGGTCATCATGTGGGAACAAGTAGGGTCTTCTCCCTGATTTCCGCCATGGGCCGACTCAACAGACCATGTCTTCCTCATCTCTCTCTCCCATTGCCACCTCGTCCTGGCTGGTCTTTGCCTCTCAAAAATATGAATTTCTAACCTCTGAATCCTTCCAGGCCCTGAAAGTCTACCTGGAAGATGGACTCATCAGTAGTCCCACTGTGGTGAGGGACACTGAGGCATGGCAAAGAGATACAGTACCTGCCTAAGACCACAGCCAGCTAGGGCCTGAAGATGGTGGTTGGACCCACACATGGTTTTGTGGAGCCACTTGACATCCGGACTTCCCACTTGTCTAATTATTACACTCGTTAACCTACAATTAGCTGCATCAAGTCTGTTCCTGGCCTGGCCCCAGGCTGTTCCGCACAGGGCTGCCTCTGCAGTGAGTGCACAGGGCAGGCACACAGTAGGCGCTCACTAAAGAGTCCTGGAATGAATGCATGTAGGTCCAAGGCCCACGCCCAGGGCCACCCGTGGACTGCGGCCAGCACACTGTAGCGGCTTCCCCTGCTGCAGCCACCAGCGAGCTGGAGTCTTATGCAGCAAGCATGAGTCACCTGGCACGGTGGCACAGCCTGGGGCTGAAGGTTTCTGGTGGCTGGAAGCTGTGCACGCAAACCACACCCAGGAATGAAAAAGCGCAGGAAAGGAAATGACTTTGCTCCCAGGTCCTGACTGATAGTCCCAGACAGTTTTTACAGGACAGAGGGGAATGCTCTGCCACGCTAGCTTCTTTTGCCAAGCCCCACCTCCCCCCCCTTCTTGCCCAGCTGGTGCCAAGACCACAGACCCCCAACCCCTTACCACCCCCCCGGCACTCAAGGCCCGATGGGAGCTGCCCCACCTGTCCTCACCCAGGCCCCTGAGCCATCCTGCAGAGCAGCCCCAATGGCACCATACTGCCTGGGACCCCTTCCCAAGGATGAGAACAGCTGTCCTGTGGGTCCTCCCCAGCTAAGTGGTGTTCAGCTCACTGTCCTCCCCTGAAGAGGCCTTGCTGAGTACCCCTGGCTCCTGTCCCTCCCAGAATCCCCTCCTGTTTCGGGGCCAGACCTGGCCTCGGGTGCGGAGCTGAGAGGGCTCACTGCCCAGCACACCACAAGGCAGGGCCCGGTTCCACAGCAATAGGAAAGCTGTAGTGACACCTGGCCAGCACTGGGCAGACACATTGGGTCCAAATGCGCATCTTGCAACTTGTCATGGAGACCCCAGAACCGGCATAAGGCAGGCGCCCGGTCAGTGCACAGGGACAGTGCGCCAGGGACCTCGTGCCTGCAGCCTTGCAAAACTGTCCATTTGACCCTCCCGGGCCTGCGCTCTCTGGGCCTCAGTTCCCCATCCCAAGAGTGAAGGGCTGTGACTGGCGGGATCTCTGGAGGCTGGGCACTCAGACTTGGCTGTGAGAAAGGGGCAGGTGGGGAGGCTCCCCCAGGACCTTGAGGGGGCCTGGGCAGGACGCAGGCCGAGTTCTGCCCCTGCCACTGACCATCCGGGCCGCTGGGGCTTGGCACCCGTCCAACCTGAGCCTTCATTTTCTCCTCCGCACAGAGAGGATACCCTACAGCGATTCTGATGGGAGGCCCCTGACTCGGGGCCAAGCCCACAGTAGGCGCTGGTAAATAGCAGCCACAAATAAAAGGGTTCAGGAAGATGACAGGGGCAGGGGAGGCAGCTAGGCTCTCTTCTGACCTAGGCTGGGGCACTGTGGTCCCAGAAGACACTAGGTTCCAGCCCCTGAAATCCTACTTGTGTGACTCCAGTGAGCACGGGGGAGGGAACAGGGACTTGTGGGCCAGCCCTTGAGGTGGAAGAGCGGGGCGTTGGGAACGCGATGTGCGGGAACAACAGCACCCCCCGATCACGCTGTCATGGGGTCCGTGCCAAGCCATCACCATCACCGGGTGTCTCCCCCCGTGGAAGATGCACAGAGCAAGGTGGCCCTGCTCAGCTGGACCGGCACGGAGTGGGTTCTCCAGTCCAAACAGGCTCCGGGGGCATGGCAGGGGGCCCCATCCTGGGAAAATAAGCTGGAGGGGGTAGGGGCGCCCGGGGGACTGAGTCTGTCCCCGGCCCCCCGGGGCCTGTCCCGGGGCACAGCAGAGTCCCACCGGAACGCGGTCCTCTGGGCGTCACGTGGCTGAGGCTGGGGGACTGCGGCTCCTCGCAGAGCGCAGGGGCATCTGTCCGTCCACCTCCCCGCCCACAGGCGCGCTCCAGCCCCGGCCCCGCGGGCCTCCCAGGCCGCGACCACGGCCCCCGGCCTGTCGTCCGCCCGCCGACCGGGAGGCGGTCACGGACCAAGGTCACTCAGCCGCGGCCGCGAGCAGCTGCGGCCGGGGCAACATCGGGGCACCGGGCCCCGGGCCCCCCGCGGCCGCGCGCCCGGCCCGGGAGGGCAGGCAGGACCCCCGCCCGGCCCGCGCTCACCTGTCATGGCGGCGGCACGGCGCGCGCCCGGCCGGGCCCGGCCCGTCCCCCCGTCGCCGTCCACCCGGCAGGCTGCCGGTCCGCCGCCGCCCGACTCGGCTCGCCCCGCCCCTTCCCGGTAGGCCCCGCCCCCTCGGCAGGCCTCGCTGCGGCGTCGGCGGCTTCCCCGCGGCAGCCCCAACGCGCCCTCTCTGAGCCCGCCCTGTCCCGTTGTGCTCCGCCCCCAGCGTCGGCGGCGTCGCCCCACGAGCCCTAAGCCCCGCCCCCTCGAGCCCCGCCTCCTCCGGCGGCGGCTACGGCGTCGTCAGGAGTCACTGCCCCCACCCCTCCCTGCGACCCGCCCATCCCGGGAGCTCCTGGCGCCTCTCCGCCGCTGCCCGGGCTCCAAGCCCCGCCCTCACTGAGCCCCACCCTCGCTGACGTCTGTTACGACCCTGCGATAGTCCTGAGCCACGCCCCTCGCTGGGCCCCGCCCCCGCCTGCTACGGGGCCTTCTGGAATCTCGAGCCTTGCTCGCACCAGCGTAGGGTACTCGGTTCTCGTTAAGTCCTTAGCTCCGCCCCCCACTGAGTCCCGCCCGGCGCTCCTTTCCAGGGCTCTAAACCCCGCCCTAACTATAGCCCCGCCCCTTCCGGCGACGGCTAGGGCGCAGCCACAGCCCTGAGCCCCGCCCCCAGCCCTGGCGCACCCTCCGCGATAGCCAACGCCCACCTCCTGGCCCCGCCCATAGAGGCCGCGCCCCGCGATGGCTCCGCCCACGCCGGCCCCGCCCCACACTTGTTCCTCTGGTGAGCAGGTGGCTCAGCGCGGCTGGCCACAGTCTGCGGCCCCGCCCCGCACCACAGTGACCCACTCCCGAATGAGGAAACTGAGGCTCTGAGAGAGTAAGTGACTTACCCAAGGTCACGCAGGTCAGGCTGTAGCAGGTACAGGGGAGAAGCCAGACCTAACCGTGTCACCTGAGTGGAGCAAGCCTCTGTTGAGGACACCAGCCTGGCAGTGACCCTGACTAGGAGGTCTTTGCCTTGCCTAAGCTCAGTTTCCCTAGCTGTAAAATGGGTGACCTCAGGCGGCTCTCTCCTCCTCGCTCAGGAAGCCGCAGCCCCACGGGGACTGAGCTCTGCTCCCAGCTACGAGATGGAGAGCTGGCTGGGAAGGAACGCGGGGCCTTCACAAGCGGACAGGGTTTGGGTCTTACCTGGGGCCCTCTCTCGCTGTGCTGGCCTTCCCACATTCGCGGCTCTAATCTGCCATGAGGGGCCTGACCCAGAGTTCCCGTCACCGACCCCTCCCCAAGGCCCACGCATCCCCCTGCCTGTGCCTCAGCTGTCCCCTGTAAAACAGGGCCAGGACTGCCCATCACGGGTGGGTGTACTGGGGGTAGCCAGGGAATGGATTGGAAATCCCAAAACTCTTGGGCCTGGTTTTGGCGGTCACAGAACGGGAGCTGCCCAAACACTGGGAGCGAATTCCGCCGGGCTTCCCTGGGAGGCCCAGGCCGAGGGACTGCAGGGGCAGGGCCCCCTGGGGCAGGAGGGTCAGGAGGGTCACGGGTGCCGCCTGGGGTCCCTCCTGGCCTCTTGCTGGCCTGTGCGCTAGGGCGCGCCCCAGCCAGCTCCGGGCTCCAGGTGCTCCCTCCCACAGGGGCCTCCCAGTGGAATGCGGCCTGACCCCCTTTATTCCGCTTTCTGCACACTGTAATGGCTCCTAGCATTTACCTCTCGGTTGTTTCTCCCTCTAGAAGTAATCTCAGTGCCATAAGGGCGGGGTCTGGATGGGACTGCGGGGTTTCCCAAGCGCTCCCCACCTTCAGTGAGCGCCGGCTGGTGGCCAGCATTCCACCTTCACATCACTCCCCCTAAAGGATGAGCGGGGATACTGAGGCTCAAAGCGTTGGAGTCCTTGCCAGGCCAGGCCTCCCAGGTGCAGGATTCGCTTCAAGGGCCCCCCACCCAGTGCGCATGGCCCCGCGCCTCTGTGCCCTCCGGATGTGCCCTTCAGGCGAGCTGGGTGGAAGTGCATGGAGGGGCTGGGGTCTACCAGCCCTCTCCCCACCCCGAGAGCAGCAGGTGGTCGCGGCTCCCCACGTCAAAGGGCTGGCGGGACACTCCTCTCCTGGCTGGGAGCGCAGTGTCCTCGGCGCTTGCCCACTCCTGCACCCACCAGGTGCAAAGTGAGCACTCGGGCCGGCAGGACAATGGTCCTGGGCCGCTCTGCTGAGCACTGAGGGTCTCACACGGTAGACTGGATCGACCTGTGTGGGCTTTGCAGAGCTAACTGAAGATCCCCACCTGTCCCTGGACCTCAGGGATGCACTGGCCCTGACCCCTCCACCACCACCCCCCCAACTCCGCTTCCACCTCAGACATTTGCTTCTTTTGAATTCTGTCACTGTGGCATGATTTATGTGATCAGAGAGTAAATACAATTTTAAACTGGGCAGGGGATGCCCACCCCAGGTGATGTCTGCACCTGCTACCCGCTTCTCATTCAGGCCTCTTCTCAGCCCCTGCCCCAACAGCTCGGCAAAGTCACAAGGCAAACAAGAAGTAGGGATGCTGGCAGCTCCTCACACGGAGGGCTCATCTGCATAATTAATAAGGTCCTAGAAGTCAGAAAGAAGGGGGTCAACACTCCTGTATTCAGTGAAGGAGGAAGCAGCCTTGCGGGGCCACTCAATTCTGACCATGACAAGAATTTCATGTTTCATGGATCCAAGTGGCACAATCCAAGATCCTGATCAAACCCTGTGTGGGCCTGGCAGTGGGGAAGGCCCCACACCACCACAGGGCACCTCCCCAGGCTCTTGGTCCTGTCCTCCAGCACTTCCTGCTATCTCCCCACTAGAATGTCAGCTCCTAAGGACAGGGCCACACCTGGTCATGGTGCCAGGCATCTAGTACCTGCTCCAGAAATGCACTTAAAGCCTGACTAGATGAGCTGAAGAAAGAGGGGCTGGAGGCAGGAGGGGCGTGGGGTGCCATGGGCTGAGGGGCAGTCTGTGTGGCTGGAGCTGATCGTGCAAAGGGACAGTGGTGGGTGATGAGGGGGCCTGAGTGCTCAGGAGGAGCAAGGACGTTCTCCCACATTCTCACACCACCAAGGCCCACCATTCATTCCTTCAGTCTCTCATTCATTCAACACATGTCTCCTGAACACCTCCCGCATGCCCAACCCAGAGCTAGATTATTACAGGGAAGCTGGGGCCCTGCCCCAACAGAGGTCCCCTGATACAGACAAAACAAAGGAGGGATGGGGCGCCGAGCGCTAGGAAAAGCAAGAGGCTAGAGGCCTCCTGGAGGGGCTGCCCACCCCCAAGATGGCCCCACCATCCTCACATCCCGAGTCACGCCCTTCTGCAGTCTCTTCCCCCAGCGAGCCAGGCGGCCTGTGTGACTGGTGACCCGTGGTGGAGTGAGCTGGGTGCCCTCCGGGATGTAAGGTGCCCGTGGCTCTGCCCTTCCCTCCTGGGCCACCTGCTCCGGGGGAGCCGCCCCCACGTGCTGAGGACACGCAGGCCGCGCTGCGGAGAGCCTGGTGTGGGCAGGAGCGGAGGCCCCCAGCCATCAGCCGGCAGCAGCTGCCCGCGCGGGAGGGAATCTCCTGGAAGTGGGTCCCCGGCCCCGTCAAGCCTTCGGGTGAGACCACAGCCTCACGAGAGACCCCGAGCCAGAGCCACGCTGCCAAACCCCACCTGAAACAGAGTGGTAAGAAGTGATTATTGTTTTTGACCCACTATGTTTCGGGGTCATTGGTCACGTGGCAGCACACAAGGAATGCGATGGACATCGGAGCAGACACCTGGCTGAAGTGAGGGAGAGGTGCAGTCGACAGCGGGGAAGAGGATCATGCAGGAGCCCAGGCACAGATGACCTGAGCTTGAGAGACAGTCTGTGTGGCCGCAGTGGACTCAGCACCAGCAGTGAGGTCAGGGGGTGGCGGGCATGTGAGGCAGGGTCACGCAAGCCAGGCAGCCAGAGCCCATAGTCCGAGGCTGAGAGGAGGGTGTGCTGATCTCCAAACGGCTGCCTCCCCTTCCAGGCACCCCCAAGCCCTGACAGCAGGTCCCCCACCACCTCATCCTGACAAGCGCTAGGGCTGAAGAGGGCCTGAAGAGAGACAGGGAGAACTCAGAGCCTCGGCGGACTTGCTCAAGCCCCATAAGAGCCGTTTGCGACCACATCGTCGTCCCCCTCTACGGGATCAAGGCCACAGGGCAGCCTGTCATGGAACTGCTTTGACAAGACTGGGGTTGAGCAGCTGTGGGTTGGGGGGGCACCAGGATGGCTCTGAAGGTGTCCACCCCTGCCTGGTCCTCCTGCCACGCAGAAGGGGAGTCCAGCTGCCCCCTCAGTAGGTGGAAAGCAGCGGCCGTGATCAGGCATGACTTCCCAGGCCCCCAAAGGGCAAGGCTTGCACTCAGGACTCTCATCGTGGACACCAGCTACCAGGGTGCAAGGAGATCCAGGCCACTGGAGACGGCCAGCACCAGGAGCCCGCGAGCCCGGAGCAATTAAGAGAGCTATTCCACCCTCGAGGAAAACCTGCTTGACGTTCTGTTACAGAGACACAGGAAATTGAGACAGCAGTTTTCGCCTTCGTTTCTCCAGTGTTAGAATTGTTTATTTCACACCCCTCTCCCCTCATGGCTACTTGCAGGGAACAGATGCAGCACCCAGCCGGGTCCCTGCTCCCTCTCCACCATGCAAAGTGAGATTTGCTGAAACGTCCCCCAGTCTGTTTACAGGAGCCAGCCGGGGTGGGGGGGAGGGCGGGGGCTGCATGTGGTCCCAGAACCTCAGTGGTGGATCCAAGGACGCCCATCTACAAAAGCTGTCCAGCTGGGCTCCCCTGGGACAGAACAGCCCTTTGGAGTCCCCAGCCCAGCTCCCTGAGGGATCCCTAAACCCGGAAGCTGGTTTCACTGACCCATCGCAAGCTGGACACAGGTCGAGATGTAGGTGGCTGGTGGTGGGGTGGGCCTGGTCCTCCCCGTGTGGAGGGCAGTCTCCGGACTCTGCCTCAGTCACCCCGGGATGTAGGCCATGTGCTGTCTGGACATTCCTGCAGTGGGCCAGGAGGCAGGCGGGGCACCCCCCAGGTCCGCCGTGTGCACCATCACCTGGGCATGGGGTGAGCCCGCAGGACAACTGGTGGTCCAGGGGTCCTTGTCCACGCTGTGGGCCATGCCAGCCAG